CTACACGCCTTGTATAAATCACTTACAATATCATTTGCTTAACTTCAGTCCTTTAAAAAATGTACAGCCCGGAAATGAAAGTGAGAAGTGTGTGACTGCAAAACTGTGAAAATTGTTTTCATGCATGGCTTGTAGGCAGAGTCCAGATGGTCAGACATCTCTTTAGTATATACTTTACATCAGCTATCACAGAATATTGTTCTATAAAGTTCTGCTTTAAGTAGATCTAAAAGTCATCAGTATGCTCATGAATACTAACCACAACAAATATTTACAGAATAATCATTATGCATCAAGCACTGTGACAAGTGACTTAAATGTTTATTTGACCCTCAGAAACTAAGATGATCATATTATTAGCTTATTTTATGCATGAAGAAACTGAACTCAGATTAAGTAATCTGTTCATAGTCACCCCCAAACACTATAGTTTGTGTTTATAAAACTAATATAAAACAGAGGGCAGAGGACATTGCTCAAGAAGCAGAGGGGCAAGTGGCGCTGTAGCTCAAGTGGTAGAGCGCTCACCTTGAGCTGAAGAGCTGAGGGACAGCGCCCAGGCCCAGAGTTCAAGCCCCACGACCGAAGAAAAAAAAAAAAAAAAAGAAGCAGAGGGCCTGACTAACAAGCACAAGGCCAGAGTTCAAACCCCAGTACAGAAAAAAAAAAAAAGACCTTAGAAGAAATATAGTTTCTGTTAGCCACTTGTGGCTAATGCTTGTAACCTTAGCTACTCAGAAGTCTGAGGCTGAACTGGAGGCGTGGCTCCTATGTTAGACCACCAGCTCTGAGCAAAAAGGAAGCGGAGTGAGAGCATCACGCCCTGAATTCAAGCCTCAGTACTGGAAAAAAAAAAAGATTAAATGGTTTCTATTAATATTTACTATAATATTTTGTTCACAAAAATCATAGTCATGTATGTATTTGTGGGAGAGAAAAGGACCTATGGTCTTTTTTCTCTTAACAAACTAGACAAAAGATGATTTTAAATGATTACATTGCAGTTTTCAATTTACCAGTGCTTCTTGACCACAGCCACCCTTCAATTTACTTTTAACAGTCTGATTTTTTTAATCTCAAAATGATTATGTTAATTAAGTTATATATAATTTTAATTTGTCCCAGAAAGCTGTGTTATGAGGTACTTGACAGTCAGCATTTCCTGAACTATTATGTCAAACAATTCCATGAATAGGAAATTTACTAGTAAAATATACTTGACAATGATTAAGAATAAAAACATGCGGGGCTGGGAAGGTGGCTCAGTGGTAGAGCGCTTGCCTTGCATGCCTGAGGCCCTGGGTTTGATTCCTCAGCACCACATAAGCAAAAAGAAAAAAGCCAGAAGTGGCGCTGTGGCTCAAGTGGTAGAGCGTTAGCCTTAAGCTGAAGAGCTCAGGGACAGCGCCCAGGCCCAGAGTTCAGGCCCCACGACCGGACCCCCCAAAAAAAGAGTAAAAACATGGTTTTTACTTCTTTCTTTTTGTCGGTCACATGGGCCTTGAAATCTGGGCCATGGTACTGTCTCATCTTTTCAGCCCAAGGCAAGCATTCTGTCACTTGAGCCACAGAGCCACTTCCTGTTTTCTGGTAGTTTATTGGAGATAAGTCTCACCGACTTTCCTGCCTGTGCTGGCTTTGAACTGCGATCCTCAGATGTCAGCCTTCTGAGGCAGTGAGTATTACAGGCGTGAGCCACGACACCCCCGGTGGTTTTTACTTTTTATTGTGAAGTCTATAATGCATGCTAAAAAAAAACCCTAAAGATTAATTCATTCATCTAACCAACACACATATACATTTATTTGAATCATGTTACTGGCACTTCTAGACTGAACACTGAAAACGCAAACATCCTAGATGTCATTACTCCCTGCTTCATAAGAAAAAGCTTTTCAAGTGGGGCAATGATAACGCATGTCTGTAATCCTTAGCTACTCAGGAGACCAAGATCTGAAGATCACAGTTCAAAGCCAGCCACAGCAGGAAAGTACATGAGACGCTTATCCCCAATTAACTACCAAAAATCCAAAACAGAAGTTGTGGATCAAATGATAGTGTACCAGCCCTGAGCAGAAAAAGATAGTACTGGGAAAGAAAGAAAGAAAGAAAGAGGGGGGGAGGGAGGGAGGGAGGGAGGGAGGGAAGGAGGAAGGGAGGAAGGAAGGAAGGAAGGGAAGGAAAGAAAAGGCTGTTCCAATTGAATCTGACTTTTCTTGGAGCTGCCAGAAAACTTACATGGCCTGCAATCACTTTGAAATGGGGAGCACAGTGAATCCAGAGGTTGCCTGTCAACATGTGCTCTCCTAAATCTGAAGTTTTATAGACAGTGGTTATCTGGTTCGATTGGCTGGTGGCTAAGAGTAGACTCCCAGCAGCTCCAATCTTCCAGGATCCTTTACAGTTTTGTGGGTTTTATCTACTGGAATCCCACCTGGATCTAATAGTAAAGATCTGAGAAGGAACAGTTAGAGACTATTGCTTGAGCAGAGGAGGTATAATTGTTGTAAAATACACTGTCTTTTTCATTACAAGGGGAAAAGATACTTGCACAGAGCTTGATATAAGGTGGGGAAAATCATTCCTCCCATCCCAATTCCCTTTAGCCTTCCCTCCTAATCTTAAAGTGATTAACGGAGCTAACAGGGGTCAGGGCTTTGTGGAAAGAAGGTTGGGATGCAGCCGCTGGGGCAGGAGATGGAGCTGGGGATATAAATGCAACAACATCTGTGAAGGTCCCAGCTCCAGGACACAGCCCACTAAAGTACTCTGCGATGTAATCTAAAAGGATAATTGTTCCAAGAAAAATAAAACTGTATTGAGTAGTAAGAGTATATTATGGCTAAGTGACAGCAGTGTCAGAGAGGACACAAAAGTCAGGCTGGCAGTGGCTCACGCCTGTAACCCTAGGTACTCAAGAGGCAGAGACCAGCAGGGTCATGGTTTGAAGCTAACCCATGTACAGAGTTAGCAAGAAGCCATTTCAACCAACAAGTTGGCCATGGTGGCTTATGTCTGTAATGCCAGCTTTGTAGGTATGAGGATTACCCCGACAGTGGTCCAGACCCTGACTGAAAAATGACTAGAGGTCCAAGGGCATGGCTCCAGAGGTCAAGTACCTGCTTAGAAGACCTGCCAAAATAAAATAAAAGCAGCATCAAGTCCAGATGGTTTCACTATAAAATATATTTTTAAAATTTATTTATTTTCTGTCGGTAGTGGGGCCTGAACTCTGAGCCTGGATGCTGTCCCTCAGCTCTTCAGCTCAAGGCTAGCGCTCTACCACTTGAGCGTCAGTGCCACTTCCAGCCTTTTCTGCTTGTGTGGTGCTGAGGAATCGAACCCAGGGCCCGGCAACCACTCTACCATTGAGCCACCTTCCCAGCCCTATAAAGTCTGTATTTGAAGTAAAATTTGGAATGATTTTCCACTATCTCTTTCAGAAATTTTAGAGGGCCAGAACTCATATAACTTATTTTGTAATACAATAATGAATGGGGAGGAGGTACAGATGGGACAAGCAAGATATACCTCATCTGCTGACTGGATGATAATCAGTTACAAGCTTAATGAAGATGTTTTCATGGCTCTAAGGAAAACAGAACCCTAAAAAGGCAATCGAACAAAATACGGGGCACCTACCTTTTGCTGTTTTGGAAGTGGAAATCTTGTTCTGATTCTGGGTGAGTCCTTTGTTATAAGACCTTTACCAATTTGCTTGATCTTTTCTTCCTAACTGATCAAATCAATGACAGTACTGATCCAACCACTTCTCAGGATTACTCCGACAGGTAATTGAAGATCAATTTCCTCCCACTAACATTTAGTGAGAGCTGTGTTCCAGGCAAGGATCTGAAGCACAATAGGGACCTACACATTGGAGCCAATGCCCTCACTTTGCCAAACTTGCATTTTAATTCGAGAAAGAGAAAAAGGTAGATGGTGTGGGTGAGAAAGGACTTAGAAAATAAGATGGTCAGGAAAGTGACATTTTAATTCAGATTGTGAAGGGTGGCCCAGACAGTGTGGCAAAGGACTCCTATGTGTTGGGGTTCTTGGCATGTCTGAGGTTGTATCACTAAAATGCAGTAAGCTGGGGAAATTGAAGGCACATGAACATTAGGAGATACAATGTTTTGACAGGAGAGCAGATTACAAGAAGACAAATGTCCAGAGGCAGACAACACAGGCTAGCTCCAACGAGGTTGACAGTGGCGGAAGGGGAATAAGAAGAGAGTCTAGGTATGTTTCAAAGAGGCAACAGGATTTTCCAATCAGATAAAATATCTTAAAAGAGGGGCTGGGAAGGTGGCTCAGTGGTAGAGTGCTTGCCTTGCATGCATGAGGGGTTCGATCCCTCAGCACACATAAATAGAAAAAGCTGGAAATAATACTCATGCTCAAGTGGTAGAGTGCTAGCTTTGAGCTGAAAAGCTGAGGGACAGCACCTAGGTCCAACAAAAACAAATATATATATATATATATGTGTGTGTGTGTGTGTGTGTGTGTATGTATACATATATATATCTATATATATGTATATATATATACATAAAAGAAATCATAAGACATTTTAGTGTCGAACAATGAGCAAAAAGAAATTAATGACATTAGGGAGTTTGCTTTAGAATTTAGAAACAATTATATAAAATTTTCTATTTATTTAATTTTCTATTTATTTTCTTGCCAGTACTGGTGTTTGAATTCAGGCACTTGAACTCACTTGGCTCTTCATTCAGTTAGCACTTTACCACTTGAGTCATGCCTCCAGACCAGCTTTGCTGTTAAATAATCTCAGCTACTTCTCTGTCCAGGCTAGCCTTCAAACTGTGATCCTCAGTTCTCAGCCTCATAGGTATCTAGGATTAGCCGTGAGCCACCTGTACCAGTGGATATTCACTTTTACCCTAGTCTACCCTGAGATGAGGTATGTCATTATTTTCACTAAATGTTAATTCTGTAAAACTTGTCAGAAGTCGTTTACAAAGCTGTAAGTTTTATTTAATCAGAAAAACTTTTATTATAAGAAACAATGACATTAGGTAAAAATGCAAAAAATTGTGCAATTATGGCAAAATGTTTAAAAATATCTACACATTTGCCCCTGTAGGACTACAGTACTTACTACATACCTGAGCACTGAACATTGCCATTTGAATCTGCTTTACATGGAATCTGTTTTCTCAGATTATATCCACTTCTTCACATGCACCAATGAAACTGAGAAACAATCAACTTTATACAATAACAGGAAATAAAGGTGAAAATTAAAAAATACAACTTCTACTTTCCTATAACATAGTTTTATCCAGTCCAGTCTTCAATGTGTTACAAAAAATATATAGGAAAGTGCTACATACATTCTTCAAATGCAAGAACACAGTTAAAATGGGACCTTTTAGTTCTGGAGTTGTCATTGTGCCTTTTATTTAGTTTCATCTTACTATGAAAATGTGCCTTAAATATCTACACATAAACCCACACAATACTAATCTTAGTTTTCTAGGAACTCTTCTGAAACCATTTTAAAAGTGGCAATTTATCCCAGCTATATATAATGTAAACAAATAGTTCTTCATACAAAATTCAAATATATTCTACTCCAGTAGAAAACTCTAAGCCTTAGCTTTGACCCACTATTCTTAGATCATACCCTCAATATAAATTGTTATAATAAAATGAACAACTGTTGTGCAGATCAACAGAATAATGAACCACAGTGTTGTTCTCTTACATACAATACAGCACAAATACATTGCTAACTCAAAATTCTATGTCATGTTTTCAAGTAATACACTTTTCTAAATATAGAAGATTGTCAAAAAGCGGCAGGAAATCTTACTGAAAGCTTTATGAAAACAAAAAATGGTTATTTTTTCCCTCTTGTCAGCAATTCAAAACTGTGAAAAAAAAAATTATTGAACTCACAGAAATAACCCCAAAACAGCATGGAGATAAAGACAACAGAAGAAAAATTAAGGAGGGTAAATGTATTTGTTAATACCATTTATAAAGAAATTAGTTACACTCTCAAGACCAAGAAGAAACTACATATCTAGCTTCCTAGAACTAGATTTAAATGTTAAAACTATAAATGCTGTCCCCTTGAACTCTTGCTTCAGAAAACTGTCCCTACTTGTAGAGGTCTTTGTAAAGCAGTTTGGAAAGTTTCTGAAAAAATGAGGTATGTGATGTAAAGAGGCAATGTTTGAAATTTGTTTCACAGTATCACATTACAATATGTGTGAGATCTTTTTAAATACAAATCATTCCAGTTTGTTTTCTTCAAGAGAGTCAAACTGTTTAGATTAGGAAAGACTTCTATCTTTTATTAATTATTCTAGGCATACTAAAGAGTAAGTTACTGACCCAAATACCTGCCTTAGGGACATGAGTTACTTTGTCCTTTATGTTAATATTCCTAACTGACTTAGAAATTCATCAGTTGAACATGAAAAATGTACCTACAAAGTATCCATAAATCTGTTATTCTGTTTCCTCACTGTTAAGTGCAAAAAAAAAAAGAAGAAGAAGAAAGGAAAGAAAATGAGATTGTAACTGTGTATGGAACATAAAACCCACTGAATTATTAGAGCACTGCAGGAATTTTGTTTCTGGAAATAGAATTTTGAAAGTAGTTGCAAAACTTCACATTATAACACAATGTACCAACAATGTCTGGACCAGCAAGTAGAGCAAAGGAGGCCAACAGAATGGCCCATGTTAGTGCAAACTTGGAATATAACAGTCTTATTATCCTATGACTGAATCAAGTTAGACCAATAGCTGACATATCCTACCACATAAGTAGCAAGCCTTGTGAAATCACAAGAGTTCAACAGGTAAAGTACTATGACATTGAAACTAATACACTAACTTGAAAGATAAACTTAGGCTCAGACCATTTAAATCAATCAACTATACACATGAATTCTTATACTAGCACCAGCCACCTACAAATTTAAGCCCTTTCTGGGATTTAAAAAAAAATTGAGACAGTGTTTGCACTTGAAAAAGTTATGGATAGAAAGCTGCCACTTTAAAACTAACTTAAAAGTATATGGGAAATATGAATAATCAGTCTACAAGCTCTTTCTGAGACTGATATTTCCTTCAGTCTAATAACAGAATATGTTGAAATCTCTTGAAAACAGTACACAAAAACATGTAAATATATATATAAATATTAAGAATGAGGATCTAAGTTAGTGCTTCTCTGCGTTAGAGAGGTCACAGCTAAATAAAGTACTAGTGATATTGCCTCAGATAGGTACCCGTATTTAAAATAAAAAGTCATGTCAAACTAGTTTGGATGACTCTACCAAGTTAACCTAACTGCTCTTTAAGAGTGCATAGTTGTCCTGATTCTTCTGGTAGTTCAGTGACTATTTACCACAAAATTGTAAAATGACAATCACTTTTATGCCAGGAAAAAAAATGCTGATAATTGCACTTTGTTATCTTTTCCTTACTGAAATGAAAACATCACAAAAATGAAAGCAAATCCATCCCTACACTGTAATCTTTAAAAGCACCCATTTCTGTATATTAAAACTCTCAGCTTTTTGGACCAAGCCTCTCCTGACAAGATTTCTTGAAATACCACTGATACTTATAAGATCTGTAACTAATCACAGTACTTTCTGGAGACACTGAGGATAGAGTTTAGCAACAGCACATTCAAAATGGCGGCCAAGGTCCCACAACCGATCTGGGGTTTCATATACTTTCAGCCACTGGTCAGCAAGGTCATCGTATTGGTAAAGGGAATTTTTCCTGCTGGTTCTGAAGACATGTTCTTCAACGGTCACTTGAGTAGCTCGAACAAATAAATGGAGTTTATCCTGGAATAGTACCAGCTTAAGATACGGATTTATGGACTGATCACATGGAAAGTCCTTCTTCCGAGTCCATTTATTAAGCTCAATATCATAGGCTTCAACAGTAAACATACGCTGATGATTTCCACAGGTTCCAGCTATGTAGTAGATGGAGTTCTTGTATACAGCTGCTAAGCCCTGGATTCTAGGCACAGTCATGGGAGTTAAAAAACCCCAGTAGTCTTTTTGAGGTTCATAGAAGAGGAAAAATTCTCCTAAAAAAGAAAACAAGAATATGTACATTGTCATGTTTGGTTTTGGTTGTATGTTTAATCCCAACCTCTAAAGATGAGTGAATACTTTTCCAAATGTTTCCATTTGTAAATACAATATAATAGACAATATTATAGTCAACCTGAATTGGGAGATTTGGACAAAGGGGGTACAATGAGGAGTTACTTTGACATCATTGCAGAATGACAGTTAAGAGCTTAGTTCCATTTGTTCTAACCTATTGTGTGTTCTAAGAAAATTATTTTAAGCCAGCTCTGAAGAAACCATCATTACTAACAGTCATCTAGTAAGCCAAAGTGGATACAGGCAGCTCCATCATAAACAAGCCATTCCATATTTTTGTTGTAATTATTTAATTAGAAGACATGGAATTGTTCAGATTTGTGCTTATGTGTCACTGCTGTTTTTACATAAGTTTTGCTGCTATAATGCAAAAACAAATTTCAACAGTAGAAAACCTGACAACACTAAAAGTACAGAAAACACACTAAAAGTACAGAAAATATACACATGGTTTGTGGAAAGACTTCCAGTCCATTTCTAATTTAACAGTAAAAGGGTATAGCAATTCAGTCTGCCAGTTAAAAATGTCTTTAAGAACTACATATTCCAGAGGTATGAGGAATATAAATTCAAAATCAAGGAGACCATATCTTAAAAAAATAAAAATTAAAAAACAAAAAACATTATACCTAAAGATTTACAATGCCTTTGCTAATTAAAATATCTGTTAATTTTTAAAAATCTGCTAATTAAAAAAATCTGAGTTTTATATGAACAGATTAAATTATTTTCATTAGTCACAATATATAGATTGAATATCTGTTATATGAAATGCTTGGAGCTAGAGTATTTTCAGATTTTGCATATAAATGAGATATCTTGAGGCTAGAACTCAAGTTTAATCATGAAATGCATATAAAGTTTTTTCAGTGTATTTGTGATGAGACCATGATCTGTCACGAGGTTTAGTGTGGAATATTCCATTTGGCGCGTCACACTGGCACTAAGAAAGTTTCAGATTTAGGATCACCTATATAGCACAACATTCCAACTATTCATGTCAGGTTTATTTATATAAAGAGCCTTGGTTCCATATAGAAATGCCAATTCTAAGTTAAGCTTCCTCTTGAAAACTGTTATTAGTCTTATTTCCAAATTCAACTTCATAGTTACTTATAATGACATTTTAATATTAAATAATAGTGTTTTAATCACCCAGCTTTTGCTTGCATATCATCTGCTCTTATAACAAAATTCCTGATAAGGAAGATAGCAAAACTTTTAAATGTTCCGGGTGCTGGTGGCTCATGCCTGTAACTATAAGTTACTCAGGAGGCTGAGATCTGAGGATTGTGGGTCAAAGCTAGTCTGGGCAGGAAAGTCCATGAGACTATTATATCCAATTAACCACCAGAAAACTGGAAGTGTCACTGTGGCTCAAAGTGGTAGAGCTCTAGCCTTGAGCAAAAAAGCACTGGGACAGCACCCAGGCCCTGAATTCAAGTCCCACAACCAACAAAAAGCATAAAAGTTCATCTTTAAAATTTAAAGTCTTCCTTAATAAAGTAAAACCAATGATTAGCAATTAAAATCCTCAGGGCCTCAAATCTCTCTTATTTGCAATATAAGCCCAGACTAAATGATCTTTATTCTGGCCCTGAATTTCTATTAATTCCATGCTATTTTGCTATAATATTTGCATTAACACATAACCTTTCCAATCAGAAACTTTATAATTGATTCTGCCTCTATCAGTTAACTGGTTAACCAGCAAAATACAGGAGTGGGTAGGAGTGGGTATACTTCACTATAGGATGATGTACACTATCCAGAAATACTACATGCATTATACATGCATTCCTATATTCCATCTTTTTGGCAAGACCAACAAACCTAAGTCATGCACTGTCTTTACATAATTGAAATAAGGCACTAGAGAACAGGACTCTTCCTGGAGAATTAACTTGATGTTGAACTTAGACCAAATTTTGTTTCAGGCATTTCTAGGAAATTTTAAGTCAAAAGATTAGAATAAAAACAAGGATAAGAGCTTAAAAAAGCATCTATGTCTTTGAAGTTCCATTTTTCCTGTTACTTAAAAATAGTGTGCTGAAACATTTAACTATAACCAATTAAGAAACAATGTAAAGAAATAAGGATTTGCGTAATCTCAACATTCAACTTTCCAGCAACTAAAACATATAAGAAAAAAAATAAGAAAAACATTCTCACAAATTAAAACCTTATTCTCATCCATTTGCTGTGTTTCTGTTGTAACTTTGCCATAGTACCAGACTTCAAAGGCTTAAGAGCGTGTATGTGTGTGTTTTAGATATAAGTACACTCACAAATAAGGGAATAGGAAAATAAGGTATTATCTCAAATTTTTTCAGTACAAAACACTGAAAACAAACTATTATGAAAGGAAATATGAACCAGTGAAATTAAAATATGAAAAAATATCTCAGCCTTTGTTGATTGAGATATTAAGTTTCCTAACTACTGTAATTACAAGGCTTATAAAAATTCTTTGGTAGTCATGTGCCAGTGGCTCACACTTGTAATCCTAGCTATGCAGGAGGCTGAAATCTAAGAATTTTAGTTCGAAGCCAGCTCTTGCTGACAAATCTGAGACTCTGGCTTTTCCACGAATAAATAATATAAGCTTCTGACTCTTACCACCTTCCTTCCTTCTCCTATTAGCATCTTCCATAATTGAATCCGGAGCTGGAACAGGATGAACTGTATACCCGCCTCTAGCAGGAAATCTAGCGCATGCTGGAGCTTCTGTCGATCTAACAATTTTCTCTCTTCACTTAGCAGGAGTATCATCTATCCTTGGAGCTATTAACTTCATCACAACTATTATTAATATAAAACCACCCGCAATATCACAATATCAGACACCCCTATTTGTCTGATCTGTCCTTATTACAGCTGTCCTTCTTCTCCTATCCCTTCCAGTATTAGCTGCAGGAATTACTATACTTTTAACAGATCGCAATCTTAACACAAAAAAGCTGAGAGTAGAGGTGTGGCTCAAATAGTAGAGTATGTCTTGAGTGTCACTAAGCAAGAGTACCCTGAGTTCAAGCCCCAGTATCAACACAGAAAAGCAAAATAAAACAAGCAAACAAAAAACTCTTTGTTAATTGAATAGTATAAATCTAGTTAATATTCTAGATAATACTTTGCTCTTTTTTTTCCTTTTAAACTAATCTGGTAAATTCCATAACCAAGGAGTTACTGTATCCTTTGACTGTAGGAATATGTACTAATCTTATTTTATTGATTAGTCTTAAAAATGTTCTGAAATAGTTCTCTCAAGTTGCTGAATTATTCGTGTTTTTTTATTCCTCATAGGCTAAACTACAAGAACATACAAAAATAAAATTTAAGTAATTTAAAAGTATTTTTAAGTATTTAAAACCTTTTTTGATTCACAAGGTAATTTTTTCTGTATAGGTCCTTTACAGAATAGACCATACCAACAAATACTTTAGGAGAAACATGCCAGCAGTGTTACCAGGAAATGTTACCTATTTCCTTATAATTAAGTAAGCCAGGCCTGATGTGTAGCCTTGCCAGAACTCAATCACGTTGGCACCTACCCTGTAAAACGTAGATCTTCTCTTTGTACTCCACGGCATTATGAAATTCCATTGCAACTGGCATGGCACAGACTGTTGTCCAACAGTTCTCCCTGCTGTCGTAGCACTCCACAGATTTCAGGGAGTTTCTCCCATCACCCTCATAAACTCGGCCTCCAATGGCATACATCTTACCACAGCAATACACTAGTTTGCAGCCTATTCTGGCTCGAAGCAAGGATGGTTTGGATAGCCATCTATTAGTGGAATGGTCATACATCCAGAAATCATTTTCCGCCTTGTGGTCAATGGAAACCTCACTGCTGCTTGGCCTGTACCCTCCTGCAATGTAAATGTCATTATCTGGTGATACAAGAATCCCAACTTCTCTCAGATCATTTGGTGGTTTGCATAGTTTAAACACTCTTCCTGTGACTATATCTAGACAAGGCACTGTTTGCTTCTTTCCTGAGTGTTTGTGGGCAGCATCGAAGCATATAATCATTTCAGAAGCAGTCATTCCAAGCCTCTGTGTACAGCCATTAGTGTTGGCTGCTCCCTTTTCTACACAGCTTTTGACTATAGCTTGTGCAAAGTGAGGTGGAATTTTCTCTATAAACGCATCTTCCATCAGAGGAAAACGTATGCATTTGGCAAAAATTTCTGAAAGGTATACTTCTCTTTCATTCTGTTCATGTTCAAACCATCTTATAATGCTTTCATAAACATGCTCTTCTCGATCCACGTTTAAATCATCACTATCTAGTATGCTTATCAGTTGGTCTTTTGTCAGCTGGAGAAACTCTTGTTCTTTGGTGACACACAGGAATTTTTTACGAATGTATTCTTTTGATCGGTCTCCCAGTTCCTGATGACCATAATGATCAGCAAATATAAAGACACCAATAGAATTTTGTGGTTCCAAATGACTGATCATGTATTTAGCACATTGGTCTTGAATAGAAGGAATCTGGAAGATGCTAGCTGCAGTGAACAAAGCTTGAACATTGGCCTCTGTCAGAATAATTCTAGAAGTATAGGCATAATTCAGTACTAAATCCATCGATTCAGCTTCCACACCGATGATTCGAACTTCTTTCTGAGTACTTTCTGTAAGGCCACTAGTGAACATGGATCTAAGAAGGAAAAAGTGGTCAATATTTGCGTGCTGCAACTAAAAATTATCTTGACAAATTATTAAAAGGATAGTTACCAGACAACTTTTAGAAGCTGAATTATAATATATTCTAAGGTATTGTGAACAGGAATAAAAATTGACCACAGAAGAATTTAGTCTAGCTAATCCCAAAAGCTCCATTCTTAGACACAGTCACTTTCTCAAAATGTGCAGGAATCATTTAAAGAAGGACCATTTGGTCTGTTTTCTAAACATAAAACAAGCCATGGAAAGCCTTCAGGGGGATTTACTTCACATGCCAAGGCTGAAAAATGGCCTTGATCACCAGAGTCATTGGGTTAATTGTAGCTGTAGGTAGCCTAAATAAACAAATTCTGAAAGAATCCTTAACTCAATGAGCCGCTACATCTTCCCACCCCCATTATCTCTTACTAACCTAGACCAGATATCTACTTGTCTTTTCATTACTTCACAAATGTCTTTGTCTAAAAAGATAGAAGACATTATGCTTCGATCTTTTCTTTGGACTTCACACTGTTGTCCAGATCCCCAGGTATATATAAAACTAATAATAATAAACATCTCTTGTTAATCAAATCTTGCATTAATTTGGATCCTAGATCCAGTCAACGACCCCCACATAAGAACTAAGGCAACCACAGGGGATCTGTCTTTCTCAATAGTGCCAACCTAAGTAAAGTAAATCAAAAGGAGATAGAACACAGGCTTCTAGTTAAGCTACATTACGAACACTGGACCTTAAATTGTCCTGTCTCAGAAAGTTTGGGATAATTGTAAGACTATAAAAATAATATATTAAAAGTCACAATCTAATAAAATTTATTTATATTGTAATGAAAACAAGAGCAACTTACACCCCAAATAAATTGTTTAAATTTCATCTTAGTAAGAGCAAGATGCTCTTCCAAAGCACATATTCTCTATCTAAATGTTTTAAAACTACTACTGTCTTATGAATGGCCTCTTAATACTTATATGAAATTTAATGATCACTTACCCTTGGAAATTTTGAAAACCGTTCCTTAAAAGTCATATGTAATCTTCTCAAATTTACCATATTTCCTTATTTACATTTACACATAAAGATAATATTAGGGTCTTATGTCTAAAATGAACACATCACTGATTCTTTGAAAGTAATGATTTTTAAAATCTCAAAGACTTCCTTGAAGACCAAACTTTTTTAAAACAATTAAAATATTGATGCATTTATCAAACTTTCTTGGCCAAAACATTAAGTAGCCAACACCTGGTTCTTTAAGTAATAATCAGTTACAAAAATCATTTACCTTTTTTACCCTTCCTTTAATGTTTCATTCTAGTCAATCCTTAAATATAAAAACAAAATATAAAAAGAATTATACAGCAAAAATAGCAAAAAATTCTTTTTAACAGCCATTTGAGGAAATGTCTTTATCATAGTATGCCTAATAGATACTTCTTGAGGAAATTAATCTACGTCTTGAGAAAAATTAAGCTAAGACTGATACTAGAGATAACTATTGAGTCCAAATCCTTCACATTTTATTTTTGTTATATATTTTTTTAGATATCCTTAAATGAGAAAATTTCCAGTCACTTTTAAAGTCTACGTCATATACATGGAGGTATTTTTAAATGAAGTATGAGAAGCCTTAAAGGTAGAAGGACATAACCTGCTAAATAGCTACACATATTCTGAGTTCTGTTTTCACTTTGACAAGGTAAATTTTTAAGTTTACTATCACAGGATTTGATGATTAAAAACCAGACGTCCTATATGTGAGCTAGTTTTCAATTTAGGTGCTACAAGACTATATATACAGCTACAAATTAAAAAGAAAAATAAAAACTGTCATTGGATAGAATTAATTCCCCTAGGAGAACATTACCTCAAATCCTTTTATTATGGCAACTACTCTTGCCTGGAACAGGGTGGTCTCCCACACAGGAGTGGTCTAGTGTCCAATGAGTTCTCTGTTCTAATAGGTTCCTCAGGTAAACTCTAACCAACAGTGGAAGCCCTTCTTCTCACAAAATCCTGAATCATAAAGTTTCTAATAATCACACAAATATTAATTCTATCTAGTCACTGGAATCAGGAAACGGCCATGCCAGATTCCCAGCTATTCTAATTTTTCCACCTGTCATGCAAGATTTAGAAATTATTAAGTGTGGGCTAGTAGTGTGGCTCAAGTGATACATTACCAGCCCAGAAAGTGCAACACCCAATGTTCAAACCCGAGTATCAAAAAATACAAAAGAAAGATAAATTTAAAAGACATCATCAACTATGACTTTCTAGATTCTACATCAGGAGAACTAATTCCAAGAAACTTCTGAACCAGAGTAGTTTAAAACCTAATTCTTCCTCACCCATCTTATGCTCAGGTTTTCCAAGCATTGCTTTTACTTGTTTGAAATTAAGAAAAAGCTGTTGTATGAGTGCTTCTTTTATATAAGTCTTCAAAGTCCACTATGCATAACATATACTATTTAACTAATATAATGTAGAGAATGAAATTTCAGTAGGATAGATTAACTTTGAAGTTTCAGTTCTTATACTGCTCAAATCTAATACACAATAAAAAGTTGGAAAATAAATTTTAACCTAGGTATAAAAATATCACTAGTAGTTTTCATTGCCAGGCCAAACATTGTTTTCTTGTGTATTTGAATTTCATCTTTTTTTTTTCTTTCCAGCTCATTATCTTGTGATAACACATAATAGTCCAAATGACCTAACCTAGTCAGGTCTCAATGGTGACATCACAAGGATCAGACTGAAGTAACTATATTTAACCCTGAATTCTGAGAAAGAGGAACCAGAAACTACTGTTTGGAATGTTACTCTGCTAAGTTCCCTATAAAGATAGGCACTTTCAACAGGAAAAAAAACACATTTACAATGTGGCTGAGAAGAGTTTACTGTCATGGGTGCACCATTTTGGGATCTTGAAAGGCTTATAAAAGTGAACAGTGGAAACAAAAAAGTTAAGGTAGGAAACTACTTTTTCCATTATCTTCTTAGAATAGGAAGTTTTTTTTCAGACCAAGCTTTAAAAATTGTACTTCTCAGTATATTATAAGCAAAACTCAATACAGAATGAAACAAAAAAAAAACCCTAAAAAGAGAAGCATAAAAATAACTGGTTTGGGAGACCTAAGATATAGACACTATTTCACTTATTTTCATTACACTGCTTTTGCCCCCATTAAAAACAATCTATGAGGCAGGCCTGGGGCCTCACACTTAAAATCCTAGTGGTTCAGGAAGCTGAGATATGAGGATTACAGTTCACTCAGGAAAGTCTGTGAGACTTTTTTCTTCAATTAACCACCAAACAGCCCGAAGTGAAGCTATGGCTCAAGAGGCAAGGCACTAGCCTTAAATGGAAAAAGTTCAAGAAGCTGGGAGCTGTGGCTCACACCTATAATCCTAGTTACTCAGGAGGCTGAGATCTGAAGATCTCTGTTCAAAGTCATCGGGGGCAGGAAAGTCTGTGAGATTCTTATCTCCAATAAATCACCAGAAGGATGGAAGTGGTTCTGTGGCTCCAGTGGTAGAGGGCTTGCCGTCTTGAGCTGAAGAGCTCAGGGACAGTGCCCAAGCCCAGAGTTCAAGCCCCACACCGAGCAAAAAAAAAAAAAAAAGTCTTAAGAAACAGCACCCAGGCCCCGGGTTAAACCTCAGGCTTAAAGGCACCAAAAAATAAAAATAAAACCAAAAAAAAAAAAAAAACCCACTGTATGAACTCTAATTCTCTAATTATACATACTAAAGAAATACATATTAGGACTCATTTTTTGAAACAAATCCTAGATTGGCATGGTTCAGAAAATTTTTTCAAGGACAGAAAAAAAAACTTTTCAAAGATGAAAAAAAAAAACTTTTCAAGGATAGAAATATGTAGCAATCTGATCTGTGCTGCTTAATATGGCAGTTACTAGCCACATGTGCTACCTGAACACTTGAAATGTTTGGTATACTTGAGTTACTGTTTAACTGTTTTGAAGAATAGCAGTTTAAAAATAGTCATTTGTGGCTAGTGACTGACATATATGGTAGCACATATATATGCATACACACATACATACACACATACAAACACACGGTCCACTAACTGGATTTTAGAAGACCCTCTTAGGGAGAAAAACAAACCGTACTTAATAAAATACAACCTGTTACCTACTTTAATGTGTGTGTGTGTGTGTGTGTGTACACATATATTCTTGGTGGTTTCATTTTATTGTTCCAGCTCGGTATAAACATGGAGTAGACAACACAGAGCGGGGAGCTCGGTGCAGAGAGCAATGTAAGTTTCTACCGTCATCATACCTGAAGTAGGGGCTGATGGCAGCAAGAACGTTCCTATGACAGGAAAATGTTTTCCCGTGATCCACTTCCACTATAATGTCTGTCAACTGTCCTTCATCGTACATTGTTTTGAGTTGCTTAAGAATACTGCAAGCATGGAAGGGGTCCATGGCCTCGTTGGCTGGCTCGGAGGACGCGATCCCATTCGGTGTTGGGGAAGACTTATTTAAATCTAGGAGAAGAGAAATCGTACAGCCACAAGGAGTTCCAGCTGGCTGCGGTGTCCCGGGGGTGGGGGTGGGGTCAGGTTGTTTGGCTTGTTTCTGTGTTTGAGGGTCTCCCCGCCCCTCCCCTACACAAACACACGGGGGAGTGTCTCCCCAGAACCGCCGATCACGGGATCGGGGACAGCCCGCGGCCGCGCCGGCTCCAAGGCCGCCCCGCAGCGGCCGGAGCCCGGCGAGCCCGACGCGCCGCGCTCGCGGACCGGACGCGCGAGGCGAAGCCGCCCCGAGCCAGCACGCCGGCCGGGCGCCCCCGGAGGGAAGCGGGGCGGGTGGCGGCCGCCGGGAGCCCCGCAACCGCCTCGCCAACGGCGGCGGGCGGCGGCGGGTACCCGGGCACCCCCACACCGTTCATCACCGACCCCCGGCCACCTCCACCGCGCCATCCTCTCCGGCTCCGCGCGGTGACCTCCTGAGCTCGCAGTCCGTGCGTGGGCCCCATTTATTCCCCTCGTTTCCACCCTCCAAAACCCGTCCCAGCTACCGCACTACCCACCTGCCGACGCAGCCATTGCTAGATGGGGCCCCGGCTCCAGCTATTTAAAGAGGAAATGTCATTTCGCTCCTCTGGCTCCCGGGTTCCGGCCCTTCCAAGCTTCTTCTAGCCAATAGGGTGTCCTATGTAGTCTGGCTCCGCCTCCACGTTCCGAATTCCTACTGCTGATTGGTCGAAGAATGGGCACTTGCATCTCGGGAAATGTAGTTTCCGTGCCCGCGCTCCCGCGTGGTCGGGTTCGGGCGGAGGCCCAAGAAGGGGATCCCCGTTGGCTGGTTCGGGCGGAGATGGAGAACGCGGAGCAGGGGCGGGGCGCGCAGGGCCTGCCGGGAGATGTAGTCTTCTGCCTGAGGAGACCTGTCATTCGGAGGGGCTGGAGCAGGGGAAGCTTTTCTAGCGAGAATTCCCCCAATTTTGGCCTCTCTCCTTGCCTCTGGCTCATTTTTTGTAACCCTTTTTTTTTTCATACACTAAACTTCCTGCCAGTGAGTAAGGTTACGGATAAATGCGGGCTCTACGTGAGGCTGCAAAACCAGATCATTATGGAAACGGACAGGCGGGCTGCTGTCCAAAAAATGCAACGGCAATATGACACCCCTCCTGAAGGAAAATTCCAGAAGGCCCCAAAGCAAACCATTTCTGATGAGTCACCTGGGACACCCAATTGAAATAGCCTCGCTCTGGCCAGGTGCTCCGCTTTCCACGCATTGACCTGGTCTGCTTGCAATGGCTTCTCAGAACATTAAACTCCACTCCAACCTGTCTCCTCTACAAACGCCCAGGGACCACCTGTTCCCCTTCAAGAGAAGAAGAGGACCCTATATAAGGATTCAAGATACTTCGAAGAAATATTGGAGAAAGTCCTGAGCCTGGTGACATCTTAGAAAAGACTTACACTCTTAGATAGTTCTACTTGTAACATGTGGACAACAACCCATATTCTGTCTGCTTCATAGGCTGAAAATCTTTTAGAAGAAAGCAAAGAATGTATTGCTCACACGTTTTGATTTACTTTACCTGTTTCTGGCACCCAACAGGGTGTTTGAAATATTATAGATATTTGATAGTTGAAAATCTTTTGAACCCATGTTAAAATGTCTCTTACTGCTTAAGAGACAGTTGGCCAATTATCATTTTTTTTTTATCATGAGAGAGGATCTCATTATGTGGCCTGTTGAACTGACTTGAACTCAAACTTCTACCTCAAGATTCTCAGTTCTGAGATTACAGGTGTGTATCACCATGCCCAGAACCATTTTCTGTTTCATTTAATTCTCAACATTTAATAAGCAACTTGGCAATATTTCTAAGTTAAAGAAAATAATATAGTTTAACCCACAATATTAATAAACTTGGAGATGGGGAGAATACACAGGGGGGGAAAGCCCATGTAATATAAATTCAAGAATTGAACATTTTTGTCATTACAATCTTGCCATTCATATGACATGCTATAAATGGACTCCATAGTAAAGATTTCATTATCACTATGGTACATTTCACAAAAAAAAAAAAAAACAAAAACAGAATAAGTAGAAGGAAAGTGAGGGAATAATCGTATGCATTCTCAATGTTCCTTAAAAATGCAAAGGTTCTGTTTCAAGGTTGGTAATAAGTAATCAGAGTCTGCAGTTTTCTTTTCTGATAAGGTAGTTCTAATTTAAGTAGAGTAGACTAAAACTAGTGCCAAGCCAGGTGCCAGTGGCTCATGCCTGTAATCCTAGCTACTAAGAAGGCTGAAACCGGGGCTGGGAAGGTGGCTCAGTGGTAGAGTGCTTGCCTTGCATGCATGAGGCCCTGGGTTCAATTCCTCAGCACCACATAAAGCTGGAAGTGGCGCTGTGGCTCAAGCAGTAGAGTGCTAGCCATGAGCCGAAGAGCTGAGGGACAGTGCCCAGGCCCAGAGTTCAGGCCCCACAACCAACCAAAAAAAAAGGCTGAAATCTGAGGATTATAACTTGAATCCAGTCTAGGCAGGAAAGTCTTTGAGACTCTTATCTCCAGTTAACCACTAGAAAACCAGAAATGGCGCTGTGCTCAAAGTGATAAAGCATTAGCCTTGCCTGAAAAAGCTCAGGAACAGTTCCCTGAGTTCAAGCTCCATGACAAGTAACAACAAAAAAGCCAATGTGGAAAGACAGAAACAGAAGTAATTGGATTCCTTCTTAATAGACCAAGTACTTTACTGTCCTCTGAAACCATTTTCTCATATATTTACTGTTTAAAGCAACATTTTAGAAGGATTAACATTGAAAACCCAAACCAGAATATATAAAGGACCTATATTTAGACCAAATTAAACATTTAGAGCTTTCTTACTATAATGTTTCTTCCCTCGGAACCCAAAGCAAAGAGGGTTACTATGATCATGGTGGCTTGAGAGAAAAAAAAAAAAGGCTTTACATTTAAATGTAGCAAAAACGAAGGATTAAGAAAGGAGCAACTTTGAAAAATGAGAAAATTGCAAAGTCACCTTGTTTTTTCTGCTTCTACTTTAAGCGAATAACTTTCTAACAGTTATCAGCTGTGCTCAGACTATTGTTGATAAAAAAAAATACCACATAACACAAGAATGATAGCAGCTTTAATGAAAGAGGTATAAAAGAAAATAGGACTTCACTTCTGCAAATCGATTCTGCAGTTTTCCAATTTCCCTGCTCAGTACTGTTTGAAGCTGTGAAATTGACCAGCGCTATATAAAATGAAAGTAAAGAGAGAATACTTGAGACTCTTACCTCTCAGCAAATGACAGCTTATACCACCTCCTTGATATGCTCAGTGTGACATTTTTCCTTGATGAAGACTACTTTGGTGTTGGCTGGATTCCTGCCTGGAATGTATTAATACACTTATTATTTCCATATAAATTTAATATAATAGACATTTAAAGTACTTTTATAAATTTCTGGAACCCCATCCATTATATATAATTTACTTTTTTACATAGACAACTCTAAATAGCATTAATTTTACCTACTGGGCATTTTTGAATTTGTGGTATTTTTAATGCTCCCTGAGATGGTTTGAAGAGGCAACATTGGTAATGGCTAGAAGGCTGCATTTTGTGGATATGAGTGAATTTGATCATACTGGGCTTATAAAAGTACATTTGTTTTTTTAAGCATTTAGAATTTAGCATATACATGAATGAAAGACTGTGACGCTAATAGAATGAATATTTAATTTCCCCAAAATATTTATTGCCACCTCTCCATTTGCATTATAGGTAGACATTGCATAATTCAAGGTCTCTGATGAAAGAAATGAAGGAAAGAAGGAGGAGGAAGGAGGGAAGAAGGGAGGCAGATGAAATGACTAACTTTAAGAGAAATGAAAAACAGCTTAAAAATGAGAGTTAAGGGTAGATGCTAGTTAGCAAAAATAACTATTAAAGATTTCAGAAGAGATTCTAAAAAAACAAATGTTAATTATTTCAGAAGAGATTCTTCCCAGTTAGTGTAAGAGTTAAGCTGTGCTTCAAAGAGGATACATTACAGAAATATTTAACAAAATGACAGAGTAATTTCTTGCCTATTGTTATGTCTTGGCTTGACCTAGAAGGCAAAGCATTAATTGCTCCTACTTTAATATTGATGAGAGTTAATTCAGGAACTGTAAAAGGAAATAGAATTAATGGCTATGTGTTGCCTATTTTATTTCCCTTAAATTTACATCTTAATTAAATTTTATAAGGATGTTATTACAAACAAGGAGACTAAGGTCTGCAGAATTCAATACATCGTCCATAGTCATATAAGGGTCTTTGGCTACAAAACCGACTCTCATAGGACATAGAAAGTTCTCTGGGAATGATACAATATTCAAAGTTATTTTCTCCCCATTAAGCATGTCTAGTCTGTCAAACAGAACTAAGAATCTACTATTCATGGACAATACTATTGTTAAGATACTTTGATGCCCAAAACACAGAAAGGAAAGGGCAAAGAGTAAATTCATACTGTTGAGCTATTTTGACTTTGTCAGACTAAATTGATCATTTTAGAGGTATGGTGATTTAGAGTATTTTATCTTTCCAATAAATAAATTGTCTGTAAATATGCATATATACACGATTAAATATTATTATATACATATATGTTATATGCATATATTTAGTAAGCATAAGTTAGTATATATAGAATTACCCATTGATATTTGTCGACTGTTTCACCATTGTTCTGCAGAATTGAATTATTGTACAGGATCAAAGAGCCTGAACTGAATTACCTTATGGGACCTTAATTTATTTGGTAATATTAAAATTAAAGATGATTTCAGGATCCAAAGCCATTGTCAGCATGTGAGAGGGAAGTCAGCACTACTCTGAAGGTCAGCTTATAACCCCAGTGGAGCTAACAGAATTAAACAGCAATTACTGATTCTTTCTAACCCTAAATATGTTCTAATTTTTTCCTCTAAGTTCATGGAATCACTGTAAAAAAAGGTCTGGAGGGAGACTCAGTGGGCAGCAATTTTCATTGTGCAGACACAGGAACTGAAATTCACAGACAAGTAGCCAGGTACTTAGATCAAAAAAACTAATTAAATATTTATAAGATCTCTATTAATGTGTCGCACTAATTCAGGAATGTTTCATTTTATTTGTCATTGTTACATCACATGGTTGCATCGTTTTGTTGGCCACATTGAACCTGAGGTCAGGACTCATGCACTCTGTTTCCTAGGTAGTCACTCTTTACTTAAGCCACGCTCAGCCCTTTTCGCTTCAGTTATTTTCAGGTGGGGTCTCATATTTTTGCTACAGGACTGGCCTAAGGACAGTTCCGCATAGCTGGAACCACAGGAACATACGCCAACACCCGATTTCTTGGTTGAGATATGGGTTTCATTAACTTTTTCCCAGGCTGGCTGCAAACCACAGTCCCTCCAATCTCTTGAGTATCTTGGTTTACAGAGAACCTAGCATTAACACTACCATTTGGTTGTTTTTGTTTTTTTTTTTCCCAATCCTGGGGCTTGAACTCAGGGCCTGGCACTGTCCCTGAGCTTCATTTGCTCCAGGCTAGCCCTCTACCACTTGAGCCACAGCACCACTTCTGGCTTTTTCTATTTATGTGGTACTGAAAAAT